ATCAGAGGGGTTCGCTTTGCCTTTGGCCACATCTTAAAATCAGAAATAAAAAGCATATATCACACAGACTGGTTCTATTTCCACTGATTATCCAAAGGAACATATGGAATACGGGGCAGACTTAAGTACCCTTTTTATTGTTATTTATTTTTTTAATGTTTATTTATTTTTGAGACAGAGAGAGACAAAGTGTGAGCAGAGGAAGGGCAGAGAGAGAGGGAGACACAGAATCCAGAGCAGGGTCCAGGCTCTGAGCTGTCAGCACAGAGCCCGACGTGGGGCTTGAACTCACGAACCACAAGATCATGACTGAGCCGAAGTCAGACGCTTAACTGTCTGAGCCACCCAGATGCCCCTTAAGTACCCTTTTTGAAGATAGTTTATGAAGAAAGCTGATTTATAACCCTTTCGACAGAGCCCTATAAAAAGAACCTGATAAAAATAAGCAGGTTGCAAAAATTAGCATGCATTATGTTCAGAATCATTGTGTTTTTTCTTAAGTTTATTTCTTTGGGGGGGGAGGGGGCAGAGAGAAGAGAGAGAGAATCCCAAGCAGGCTCTGCACTGTCAGCGGGGCTCGAACTCACAAACCATGAGATTATGACCCAAGCTGAAGTGGAGAGTCAGAAGCTCAACCCACTGAACCACCGGGCACCCCAATAATTCCCATTTCCTTGAACGAATCTTGGTAGATTTAGCTCTAACAATCTGATTCACATTCCTTCTAGCTGACTGGAAAGTTTGTCCAGTTACTTTACAGGTTGCTCCATGCCTCGGGCCCCCCTCCCTGACCCGGTCGGTGTGGAGACTCTGGCCGGGCAGGTGTTGCAAGGAGGTCAGCCTGCAGCTGGGCTCTCCGGATCCTTACCTTAGCGCACTCGACCTCACGGGTCCCCTAGAGGAACGGTTCAGATTTGGGAGGAGAGGCTTGCAACTCGGGCTCATCAAAGTCACAAGAAAGTATAAGCCAGAATACAGGGTAATAAAGATACAGTGGGAGACAGACCCATCGCCAGGACCGAACTTTTCCAAAGTTTTTTTCTTCCCCTTTTACCACTTCTGCTGGTGCAGCCACCACACGCCGCAGTGTAGACCCTGCTGCGCGTGGGCCTGCTGTGTGATAAAAGCTCATATTGCCCACCCCGCAAGCAACTGTCCAGGGTTGATTTTTATATCACTCATTCATGTATTCTTAAGAGTCAGCTTATCGCTTCGTTCTCCAGCTAGCTGGCTATTTCCCCCTCTGAATTACACTCATATTGTGGTCGAAACAGGGCAGGAGACCCGGCAGCGTGAGGGGGGACCTCTTCATCCCCTGGTTTCTTTTTATCTGCCTCCGCCCCCACCCGAGACCCTGCCACCTCCAGGCCCTGTGCTCTTCTCCAAGACCTTCCTGCCGATTTGATCAGCTGCCTTCTAATCTAAACCAAGCCCAGGACTTTCCACCGGGGGCGGTGGCTCACAGCGCCCACCGAGGCCCAGTGTACCTGTATCCCCGTGTTATGACGTGTAAAATCCGATACTTGCTTTAATTGCAAAAGCCCCTGGTCTGTGTTTGGTTGGATCCTGTCACTGTGCCGCAGAGAAGGAAGCTGCATTTTTCAAAGAGTCGAGAAGAGAAGCAGCTGTGGCTTTCCGGCTGCTTTTCCAAGAGGCTCAGCTCAGAACGGCAGGGCCTGTTCAAGGCAAGGTGCTTGGGATTCTTTCCAGAGGCATCCCATGCTTCCCGTGGAGTGAGGGATGGAAGGGCAGGGACAGCTGCCTGGAACAGCAGCCGGGTGTCCTGGGACAAAGCAGAGTGAGGACCAGACCCGCACTTGACCGTTTGCCTCAGGATGGAAACTGGCCTGGGATTGGTCAGGTACAGAGGAACTCTGGTGTTGGCATCTTTCAGAAGACTGGACAATGAGTCCAAACGTCTTTCGGAGCCCCAGCAGTTTTAAGTAGCAGCACCCAAAGAAGAGTTGGTTGTTTTCCGAGGAGTTTCTTGCTTACTAGACATGGTATCTGAAGAGCGTTGGCCTCACGTGCTGGGTGCCCCACGTGCTGAGTACCCCCCCACCACCACACACAAGTTTTGCAGATGAAATAAAGACGTTGGCACAAAGCTCAGGACTCGTAAGGATGTCACCGGGGGAATCTGAACTGTTCTGGTGTAATGAGAATTTGTGAAACCTGACACATCACTTCTTAGAAGTCAGATTCCTCCTTTGCAAGACTTCTACACAACAGTATAAGTATATATGTTGCCCAGCACGTATCATATATGTTCCTTTTTTGTCCTTTTTTTAATGCGTATTTGTTTTTGAGGGAGAGAGAGAGAGACAGAGAGCACGAGCAGGGGAGGGGCAGACAGAGGATCTGAAGCAGGCTCCGAGCTGACAGCAGAGAACCAGACATGGCGCTCAAACTCATGAACCGTGAGATCATGACCTGAGCTGAGGTCAGATGCTCAACCGACTGAGCCACCCAGATGCCCCCCGGGCCTATTGTTTTCTAACTGCCACGTAGTATTCTATCCCAGGGTTTTGCCGTGATGTATTATCGACTGTTGCTGTAAAAACTGCCATTTGTTTCCGTTTTTCCCCTGTTCCGCTGCCTGTCATCAACATCCCTGTAAATGCCCCTTTGTGAACTTGAGTCTTTCTCTGCAGGACGTACTGAAGAGTAGACAGGACATGTTAAAGGATACCAATGTTTAACCTTTTATTCTATTTATGTATTTATTTATTTGAGGGAGAGAGAGAGAGTGCACGCATGTGAGGGTGAGCAGAGGGGAGGGGCAGAGGGTGGGAGAGAATCTTAAGCAGGATTCGTGCTCAGCACGGAGCCCAATGTGGGGCTCGATCCCACGACCCTGAGACCATGACCGACCCAAAATCAAGAGCCAGATGCTCAACTGACTGAGCCACCCAGGCGCCCCAAATGTTTTACTTTTTAAACAGATCTTCCAAATTGTCCTCCAAACTTTGGAGGATAAACCCAGCTTTAACCCCCTACCCCTACCAGCATCCCAGCGTCGATACTCCAGTTCTACTGTGGCTTTTTTTTTCTTTTTTTAAGTTCAAGCGTTCAGGCCAAAGGAGCATGTAAAAGGAAAATGTAAATGACTCAGGTGGGGATGACTGGTTTTAAGTCCTTAGAGCCCTGAAAGGGACCGGTGCAGTTTGGGGGGTGGTTTTGCTGGAAGCTGGGAAGACTGCATCCGTGGGACTTCTTAGGGAGCCAGGGAGGAGCCTGCAGACTTTGAGAGCACAGAGGCGGGAGTGGGGTCATCAAAAAGGAGGCAACAGAGCCTTTCAGGTAAATGTGCCAGTGCGGAGAAACTGAGGCGGCTGGAAGGCTGGTAGCAAAGAACTTGCGTCCTTCTGAGTTGCGGGACGGGGTGGTCACGTGGCCCGAATGCCTCCTCCTCTGTCTCCCCGGTCCCAACCTACCCCTTTCTCCAACAGCCGGACTTTGTGTGGGGGGCTGTGCACTTGTGCTCTACGACTCCCCTTGGGCGGCTTGTCAGCCTTCGGGACAGCTGACCCGCAGGATAGAGATCTCGGCCTAAACCAGCCCTCGGCCACATTCTTGCCTGATAACGATCATTCCTCAGACCAGCAAGCACGTTCCTACTGATCGTCCATTCAACATGTAGCTTCCGAAGGTTTTACCCATCCCAAAGCACTTTACAGTCCTAGAATCCTGGACAGGCGTGTGTCTTATTCTCAAGACCCTTATCTGTTGCTGAACGGAGGGAAAAGGTGAATTATTCTACCATCCGGTTCATGGGTTTAATTCATTTAACCACACATTTAAACTGTGCAAAGAGAAGCCTATTTAAGACCGAACGGTATACGTTAAAAGTTGGAGTTGAGAAGATTATTCTAACTGAAGTTTTAAAATTTCAACCAACTTGGCATCATTTTTTTTTTCTTGTCTTTGCTGAGCCTAAGAATCAGTTGAGGACCTTTGCAAAACCCCAGTACCCACGTGGCCTTCCGCATTAATTAAATTGAACGCCTGGCCACAGGATCCAGATGCCCCTAGTGGAAACTACCAATCGAATGGATAAGAGAAAACAAATCTTTGTGGCTTAAAAAAAGGATCATGCCATTAAAATATTTCAAATGCTTTAATTCTTTCCCCGTGATTGAAGAATCCCATAATTGCAACAACAGATCTACTGAGCAATAATTTATAAAGTGAGATACAGTACTAATAAAATTCCCCAAATTTAGACCTTAAGGTGATTATAAAACTGTCGAGTACAGAAATAACGCAAACTAAAGTGTCTTCTTCCTTTTTTTTTTTTTTAAGTATTCATTTATTTTTTGAGAGAGCGAGCAGGGGAGGGGCGGAGAGAGGGGGGCAGAGCCCCCGAAGCGGGCTCTGCACCGACAGCAGTGAGCCTGACCGGGGTTCCATCTCGCAAACCTTGAGATCCGGACCTGAGCCGGAGTCGGACACTTAACCGACCGAGCCACCCAGGCGCCGTGACGATAGTGTCTTCTTGATACTCAGGACAGGTTGGATGTAGACACATAGATGACACAGGCGTGCCGTATGAGCCTGAGACGCGGACGACCCCTTAGTAAGCAGCAGAGAGCCCCTAGAAGGACCTCGTTGAGTCTTGCATTTCTCCCTGCCATCGGTGCATGAGGTATCACCTTCACTGCACACACACGCGCACACACACGCATCATCACTCCTTTTATTTTTTTAATGTTTATTTTTGAGAGAGAGAGAAAGAGAGACAGAGCATTGGAAGGGGAGGGGCAGAGAGAGAGGGAGACACAGAGTCCGAAGCGGGCTCCAGGCTCCGAGCTGCCGGCACCGAGCCCGACGCGGGGCTCGAACCCACGAACCGTGAGATCATGACCTGAGCCGAAGTCGGATGCTCAAGCAACTACGCCGCCCAGGCGCCCCTCCATCGTCACTTTTAAAATACTAAAGAACGCCAGCAAAACTTAACCTCCCACCCCCACCCCTGCCCCCCCCCCCCCATAGCCGGCATGGAACTGGTGGGGCTGTGGTCCCATCCAGCAAGCCTGGTGCCTGTTGCCAGGCCTGTTGCCCGGTGAGTCAGCACCCGGGCTCTGCAAGAATCCCTGTACACCCCAGAGCTGCTTTCTTCTAGAGAGGGAGGGAGGGGGTAGGGACCGAATGAGGGGATTTAGAAAGCAGCCAAGGCATGGGGGAGGGGCCAGTCCAAGTACGCCCTGGCGAAGTGACTCTTCCATCCCATCTGGAAAGTTCCGCTGCTGTGCCTTTTGGCTTTCCTTGCCTGCTTCCTGGGTCTTTAAAGGACAGTTACTGGTGCTGTTCAAACAGGCCAGGCCGGTGTCTGCTCACTCTGGATCCCTCAGTCCTCCCAGAGGCTGCCTCCCCATTCTCCTGGAGCCTGTTCCTCTCCGGAGTGAGGTTCCCTGCTAAGACAATGGTGTCTGCTTCCACTCTGCCTGACCTAGGCGGGTAGAATTACCTAACAGCTCAGGCCAGTCCTTTGGGGGAACTAACCTCAGGCTTGTGTCCGCCAGAGTGGTGTTTTGACAATGCCTCTTAGTCATTGGCGTGGTGAGTCTCGACGAAAGCCGAGCAAGAGACTGAAATAGGGGGCGTGCTTTCTGCTGTATTTCCCCCTCCCTTTCCTCCCGCTCCTCCTGCATTCTCATTTAATAACCTACATTATCCCCACTTTTGTGAATGCTCTCTTTACCGGTCTTGTTTCGCAAGGCCGCAACAGTGGCGAGATCGTTATCTTTCAAAATATACTTAAGGGTAGAAAGGAGAACAAGCTTAAGTAAATTCATCTCTAAAGAAACCTTGTGTTTTCAGCCATCTGACTTCTAAATGTAGAATCCTACCCTGAGACCTGACTTGTGTTTTGAATGGGATGTGGGGCCTGGCCGAAACGTTGACTTGGCCTGTTTGTGTGTTTCTGCTGTTGAATGGAGGTAAACGTTCTGAAGTTTTCGTGTATCCGAGCCTGTCTAAAAAAAAAAAAAAAAAAAAA